CCCCCCCCTCCAAGAGCAGTGATCCAAGGTTTGCAGTGATTCCAACTCTTTAGAAAGCTTCACTGAAAGTCTTCTGTGGAGTCCTGCAGTTTAAAATGGCTTGTTATCTATAAAATCACCATAAGGACGTGATTTTGGCATTTACCACTCGTTCTACCTACGTAGGCTTTAAAGTGTGTGTGTTGCTCTGGAGAAATCAAGCCTAGTTCTTCTTTTTACTTAAAAAAAAAAGTATAACTTTTATTTAAAAAGTATAATTTTCTGCCTCTAGCTGTGTATGGTTCTGACAGAGCCCAAGCCCTAGATAAAATATCTCATACTCCTCAAAGAAGGGTTAAGGTTGTTCTTTTTTTAAAGAGGGCTAGAGAGCAAGCTGTTTAATGGTATTTGTCAATGTATCTCTTTTTTGAGTAATGGTTTCCATGCCTCGCGGACTCAAATATAACATGACACTTCCTCCTAAATGCCAATTATTCTGTCCAGAAGACTTGCCCAAAAGTCTGCTCCTCAGAGTTTCACACCAGACTCGCAGGATAAAGAAGGTGGGATATTAAAATTCAATAAAAACTGTTGTGATATTACGACTGTGCAAAAAGCCTGTGCACTAGCTGAGTATTGCTTGTATGGTTGCAACATACTTTCCAGCAATTTACATTTACAGCTATGAAGTAATTGAATAAAGAAATGCATCATCATTTTCTTTTTTAGCACATGGGTAAATTATTTTGCCAACATGTGAAGGGGTGTTCATATAACATCACAGTGCTTTGTGCTAGAGAAAAACAATTACAGTGAATAAGGTAGAATGGCTCTGTTATTGCAGTACATAAGACTTTGATTACATACTGCCAAGATTCATACCAGCCTAGTAGTTGTTGACAGATAAAGTAACAAAAATGAAACTCATTTATTTTTTCTTTATTGAGACCTCAAGGTAAAGCAAATTTTCAGTTCTTGTACTTACTACATTGAAGGAACAGAGACTGACAGTCAAAATGTGCCAGTCCAGAAATATAAATTAAACCTAGTTTCATATCAAAGTTTCATTTAGTCTCTGAAAAGGAGCTGCTGCTTGGATTATTTTTGATCCTAAAACAAATACACTGTAGACTGCTATAGTGTACCTTGGATGAATTAACCCCCTTGTACATTTAGCTCTTATGTATTTTCCAGGATATAGATCTTTGTCTATTCAAGCAATTTTAAAATTTAATTATTTTACTTTTTCTCTGTTTAGTAATAATTTACTGTGTTTGCAAACCCAATGAATGGGAGGATGGTTTTAATAGGGTGTAGCACTTTTGCTGAAGGAAGGATGTATTTTGAGGAAAAAGCCCTCCCTCCTTGTGTAAAGAAAATTTTTCTGGCTTTTACTGGGAGTTCCTCTAGGCAGCTAGATGCTGCATTATTCCTTGATAAGTCTAACAAATGACTTTTTTTTTTTTGTATACTTGTTTAGTTTCTAAAAAACAGATAAAACTAGCTGTTGAAATGGAAAGTGCTAAAATGAGTGGTTTTATCCCATCAAAATCTTTGGATTAGTTACCTAGCCCAACTGAATATAATTGCTGTTCAAATTAATGAGGCAGTATTCTAGTATCTCCTCTGTAATTAAACACTTGAATACAGTATTAAAGATGCACCAGACGTTGAAACCTCAGTGGTGAAATTTAAAACTGTTGAAATTGGAGGGGTCAGCTGTGAAACACAAATTCTTCTGCAGCATGGGTACTTCACTCGTACAATGTGTTTCAAGAATAATTTGGCTTATGTTCGGGATGCTGGATTTTTTAAATTTTTTCTTATCTTTCCATCATCTAAATTTGAGAATTTTTCTCATTAGTTCCTAAGCAAAGGTAACATAAAGTGCACTTGTTTCCAGAATTACCTTTTCTGACCTTTCACAAGATGATAATTGCAGTACTAGTAGGCTTAGAGGACTTGTTAAAAAAATTAAGCTTATGAAGTAGCAAAAAATGCCCCTTTGCTTGCTGGTGTCGATTTCAAAATTAACATTTTGGTTCATGTGCTTCTAATAATCGCTGACCCTTACTTCATGTGCTTTCCACAGGAAATGAATACAGCAGAAATTACTTTGACCCGTTGATGGATGAGGAAATAAACCCAAGGCAGTGTGGGATGGAGGTCAGTGAAGAAGGTGAGGCAGAATTAAGTATGTAATTTTGGTGTCAGAATATTCTTTTCCATTCATGAAAATGAGGTGACAAAGATCACATATGCAGTTCTATTTAAATATTGAGGTTTACAATTTAAATTATAAGCCTTAACTGCTCTGAACACGATAGGCAGTATACATAGTCTTTGATCAAGGACAGTGAGTTAATGGATGGGTAAAAGTGAGGTTGTGCTGTATTCACTCTGCTATCACAGCAAAATGAAGCATGTTCCGAGAACATTGACTACACCATGTTCTCTTTAATGAACGAAGTTAGTCCAGAACTGAGTACTAAGCTGTAGCTTTTTTTTTTGCAACCCTGCTCTCAAAGTCCTTGGAGAGCAATTTTATTACTGAGCTGAACGTATGTTTACCTAACAGAAGGAAACCCCAGAGTCCGTAAAAGTTCCCAGCACACGAGGAGGCATTTTTGGTTTTGTTTTTGCCAGTTTAGCTGAGATGTTTAGCTTTGCTGTCTGTGGGCAATAGCAAGGAGTGGGAGGGTGTGACTGCAGAGCTGGGAGAACAGATGTTATGCATAGCTATGAGAGAGATTAACCAGGAGGTATTGTCTAGCAGAGGAAATTCTCCTTTGCTCTCATGGCTTTCAGATAAAAAAGGGTGGGAACGGGCCTGCCTGAATTTGCATGGACTTAAGTGAGAACATCATCATGGTAATGAAGCGCCTGCCTATGCACTGAATGCTTTGGCCCAGCTCCTGTTGTTAAGCACTAACAACCCAGTAGCACGCAAGACCCTGTTCTCCTGTGTTACTTTCCTAGCTCTTCACTTTTTAAAATCTTGTGCTTATTTGTACTGCAGAGACTCTCTAGACATGCAGTTGTAGTCAAATCTAAAAAAAAATTTGTCTACTATAAAGGGTCTCAAAGTAGGTAATTTCTGAAATTCATGAAAAACTTTTACTTTGAGTAGATATGGAGGTTTAAACTTTTCAGGCAAAAACTTGTGTGACTGAGAAAAGCAGGCTGTAATGCACATCAGTAACTTGATTTTTTTCACCAGTACACAGAAATTCAAGGTTTGTCAAGAGTGAAATACATCTGATCCCTATAATTTCCCCATTCATTGTATAGGACAGCAATGTAATACCTTGAAAGTCAACTTCTGGCTCAGAGTTTTTAAATGAAAGATTTTTTTTTTTTTTTTTTTCCTGTTGGTACTGCCTTGGTTTATCTTATGAATAGGCTTTATGAGTCATGATCTGCTTCATAACCAGAGAACGAAAAGCGGATTAGATTTCTGTAACTGTATGTGTGTGGCTAAAAGCATGTACGGATAGAGTGGTAACATAAGGGTTACGTGGAAGTACAGTTTTTGTTGGGAGAAAGTGTTCTCTTGCCTGCATTGAAGAGGCTGAGTGATACATGCTTAACCTTGAAATTTTCTTTTCTTTTTTTTTTTCTCCTTTAAAAATTTTGTACAGATTAAAGCTCTGAGAAAGTCCATCCAGTTCCAGGGATGGGAGTGGAGAGGTGGTTTTAGGCACCTATATATCAGGCTAGACCTGACATCTGTGTGTGAGCAGCTGTCCTTTGGCGTTCCTTCTGTTTCTCCCCAGCAAAAATGTCACTCAAAGGTTGGGGTAACACTTGTTTATTAAAGGTCTGTTAGCAATGGTACTGGCCTCAGCTTGGTTGTGTTGACATCTGCAGAGCAGTTATAATGCTATATTTATCAACACCTCTGCCAAGAGCAAGTCTTCCGCCTTGGAGATATTCAAGAGCTGTCTGGACATGGTCCTGGGCAGCTTGGCTCTAGGTAGCCCTGTTTGAGCAGGGGGGGCTGGACCAGATGACCTCCAGAGGTCCCTTCACACCTCAACCAGTCTGATTCGGTGATACTCACAAACTAGGCTCATTGTCTGGTTTTCTTCTCCTTGCAGAAATGTTAAATAAGTGGAACTACATTTGTATGTAGTGGATGGAGTTAAAAGGACAGTCAGAACTAAAGTCTGGTCCTGCACAGTCATCCTCTGATTAGAAACTGTGTTCGTTTACCTCCTCTTTCCAGCTAGCAGCTTGTCACTAACAAGAGACAAAAGCAGAACAAGATGAAGAAATCGGGGCACACTTCAAAGTTACACTCTTATGTCTGAAGCAAGTCAGGCCCAATGCCCAAGGAGAATAGCTGGTGAAAAGCAAATCTTCAGCCACTAACTCTATTATACAAAGTTAAACATAATTTTAATGTGTTCATCATGTGGGATTCTTTAATGGGTTATTCTGTGAAAATGAAGATATTAGCAATTATCTTTTCTATATTTGATAAATTAAATTTGTTCTGGAAATTTGTCGGAGTTGATAATGCCCTGAGAACAAACAACACCCCACTATGGATTTGCTTCCCCCCCTCGCCAAGGGAACATTTCAATGTTGCACACTAAAAGAAATGTAAAAGATTCTGTACTTGCAGAAGAGGTTTGCAGAAGGCTCCCTCTTTGAATGTTCAGTGTAACTGAAAAACTTGGCTCTGAAATTTCATGGTAAAAAAAGTTTATTCTTTGAGGCTCTATTGGGCACTTAAAAATAGCCACCCAAGGTCCTGTGTAGCTGTACTTCAATTCACCTACCTTACATGCATTTCTTTGGCCTTCTACCTGCCTGTCTTCACTGACAACTTAAAGAAGTCAGGGTCTGGGAGACCTGGAGAGAAGACAGCCTCAACTGGTCATTTGTCCCTTGAGTATAGACACTTGAAGTTATTTTTTTAGGTCTCATGGAAAAAGGTGTGTGTGTGTCCCTTGCTGCTTTTTAAAATCTGCAGATGTTACTGGGAAGTTGATTGACTGACCAGCCACAAAATCCAAATTCATAGTGTGCTGCAATGACTTCTCATACTAGATAATGTTAGTATTATGGACAGCAAGGTAAAATTTCTAATAAAGATCCAAAATCACATTAGAAAATAAATTAGGTACTTTGGTTTTTATTAAGAGTCAAATAGAATTCATCTGGCAATTTGAATATAAACAATAATTTCAACTAGTCTATTAGCAGAATTAGTAAACAAGTTTCAGTCCAGATCAAGATATAATACTGCTCACCATTTAAAAGTATATGATTAAACTGTCTTTCCTAACTCAGAAGAAAATGACAATCACCTCTGCTATGAAACTAGCACTGTGAAAACTATTTTTGTGTCAAATGGTTTCTTAACTTTTGTATTTTTATATCTTTATATAGTTCAAAATAGTGTTTCCTGAAATACTACTGGAAGAAACATTTGATGTTTCACTGTTGTTTTTTTAAGATCCTATGAAATTTGATGAGCAAATCCTGTACAGTAAACTGATGAAGTTTCTCGATGAAGAAAACAAGATGCTGGACTTCCAAGGTAAATAACAAAATAATTTGCATAAAGAAAAATAAAACTCTTCTGAGTCTGGTTGTGGGGAGGAGAATGGGTAATCCGTCCCTTTGAACTCAGAAGCAAAAGGGACATTGATTTTAATGCAAGCCTGTAAGATCTTTTTTCCCCAAATGTTTTGAGTCATGTTTATGTGGTTTTAAGTGTAACTTAAGTGGCGTGCTTTCTCTAGGCCACTTCACTGCATGTTGAATTCTACCCTTATGCAAGAAGACTGGAAATATCATTGCTTGTGTGCTCAAAGCTAGAAATCTAAATCCTTACTTAAGCTCATTAAATAGGTGGGCCGTTTGTCAGATGCACCGGTCACATCACACAGTGTTTGAGGTTATCTGTGTAAGGATTTACACTGCCAGGTGAGCAAGAAAATTTTCTGTGGCTTTGTTAGAAAATACAAATTGATGTTCCATCTTCAGTAAAAACAACGAAGCGTAGGAGAAGAGATTTCTTCACCTCAAGCCAGCAGCCTTACTTTGGCTTCACTTATTTTTACAGGCATTGTTTAACATCCACTTGATTCACGAGACTGTTGCCACCACAGCCTCACACAAGGTGCATGTCTGCTGCTCTACTCTGGTTCATCCTAGGAGAAGTGGCATGTGAACAAGCCCCAGCTCAGGGCTGCCCTTGTACTTTTGGGTATTCCTCCCCTCCTTTTTCAGCAGAGGTCTTTTGTGTAAAAGTATTTTCTGTTTTTTGTATTTGTATGAGGTTTCCTGTTATATTTCAGTTATACACAGGACCTACTCTGTCAGAGAGACAGAGCAGGCGGTTGCCTACGGCACTGGAGCTCCAGAAGCTGTAACATGCTTTATGACTGTTTAGTTTGTGAGCAACTTTGTTCTAGAAGATGTGAGCATTTTCATTTGCCTAGGGTTGCAAAATCCACTATGGCAAAACATGGCACTGGACATATCAGTAATGTCTTTGAAACCCGTTTTGACTCATTTTAAATGCAAGGAAAAAAAAGTAAAACCATCACAGCTAAATTAATACAGATAGTTTGAGCAAAAACCTTTAACATTATTAGCAAGCTCTCTGTTGTTGCATGTTAATGTAGAGCTCCACATTGCTGAGAAAGATTATAGCAGTGCTGCAGGTTGATTGTTGCTTTTATCCTTCAACAACATAGATTAAAATAAAAACGAGTTTGGCTATGAAGTCAACATTATTTCTATAAGAAAGATTGACATGGGGTGTCCATCTGTGGTACTTCTGTAGTCCCCATCTACCAATATTTATAGCATTTCATATTCTTCAATAACTTTATCATTAAAATAATCCTGTATGATTAAGGAAAATGTCCTGATGTCATTTTACAGGCTGCCCAAGGCTGGGGTTCAGTACCCTTTCCATTAGCTTTCTGAAAGTTAGCTTCTGGGGCTCCCTCAAAGTGGTGGGAGAGAGAAGCACCTGTAGGCAGTGGTTCAGCCCACTTCACGCAGACCTCTTAGCTGATTAGACAAATTGCACCCTGGAAGCAGTTCTTCTCTTTCCTTTGGCTCTAGAAGGGTCTTGGACAACTGATTTAGACTTGACCATTGCTTTTTGTATGGCTAAAGTTAAGTGAGCCAAATTGCACCATGTGTATTTGTCCACTTTTAAGCAAGGGAACCAGGGACTGAAAGGGAAGCCTTCCCCATCCATCAGTGGTTAGTCTCTCCTTCAGCTAGGTGCCCTAAAACTTTGTTATATTACAAATAACATTAATGAATATTGTTAAGATGAACTGATGCTTTATAGAGGATAATAGCAAACAGCATATTTAGAGAGAAATAAGGCTTCACTCATCTCCTCAAATGTTTATAATTTGAACTTACCAGGTATGTTAGAACTAAAAAAGTCTTTTTCTCCAACTAGTTTTATCAAACCACCATGAAAGGCAAAATTCTGTTATTACTGTTTGGCTACGTGGGGTGTGAGACAGGTTCAAATCTCTCATCCATCCAAAGCCATTTGAATGTACACGGTGTGCTCTGCGGATGGCGATCTCATGCTGAGGCTGCTGAGGTTGCTGAGCTGCCAGCTCACCAATTTAATTCAAGGGCAAGAAAATGCATCAACACGCATGTCTCGCACTCCAGGAGCATGTCAGAGCCCCCCCGTGTAGGCATGAAGGCAGCAAGTTGGGGACACTGCAGCCTGCTGCTGTCTTGTGTCTTGAGCGGTGCCTCAGTGCTTTTATTTCTTAAAACTACCATAATGGGTATCAGAGCTAGTCCTGCAGGTGAATGTTGCAACCCTGTTCTAGCTGAATTTTTTACTTTTCTTTGCTTGGGTGAATAAAATCCAGAAAAGAGCAAGATCTTCCTAAGGAAGTGAGACTAGTGCAGTCTCCACCTCTGTGTGCCTATATGAGGCTGTATTTATTTCTGCCTGTCTGTGTTTCTTCCTCCCGATTTTTGAACCTGTTGTTCACTTCCAAACCGTTTTTTTTTAACAGAGAGCAAGTCACACAGGTCTGACTTCCCTACCAGTTTTATGGAAGTGGGCAGCTGAGCAAAGCAGACAAGCATTATTAATGTCTCCACTGACCCTTATTAGACATCAGAAAATCCATAGAAAACTAGGATTCATTTGGTTCCACTCTTACAGAACTGCTTCTTTTCTTCATTTGACCACTGAGCTGAAAAAATCACGTAGTCATACAGTCCTAATTAATAGATGATCCCCAAAGGAAAGGAAAGAACATGGCTTAGAATTTATATAATTGTATATTTAAGGCATTTTGTCATAGAGTAACCTGTTGGTCACTATTATGGTATGTGTTCATATTATAAAGCAACTTAAAAAGCAACATTGGTTTTTTGTTTTTTAGAGAAAGATGTAAACTGTGTATTTTTTACTTAGGGATAAAATCTCTCAAACAATGTAAGATCGTGATCCATGCGCATCTAAGATGATGCTAGGTGAATACCATAAAAAAATATTTTCTATTATATTATTCTTTGGCAACAACCAAAAAATTTGAAGTGCAATGTTTTGCAGCATTTTAGTTGTTTGAAACTGATGCATGAGCCTTTGGTGATGTACTTTTTTTATCTACAATTTATACACAGAGTCTTCTAGAACCAGGCAGCCAAAATGTTTTTTCCATGTGGAGTGTATAGCTGCTTTATATATTCAAAGCCATGCTGAGGTATAGTCTGCTGGTGAACCTACCCTTTAAATTCTTGTCTCAGTGTATAAACCACTGCTATCTGATAGACAAATGCAGGAGTAAATGAAGTTATGAGCAGCCAAGCTAATACCGGAGAGATTGTTCTAATTACAGCACAGCATCTGCAAATACAGCCTGTGCTAAGGAGTAGTGGTGATTTAAACTATGTGAAAAGTATGACTTGCAGTGTTAAGTACAGCCGAGGCAACAAACAGTTTTATGCACGTGCTAACAACTTGAAGCAGCCAGTTTTTAATTAGTTTATCAATCTATCAATGAATTCCCTTGTAAATTTTCAGCCATTTCATCCTGTGTGTACAAAGTAGTAACACTTTTAACACCGTGGCTACTTCTGCACGGCAAGGAGGTGGAGGCTTTGTTTTGGTGGAGCATTGCTCCGGGGCAGCAGCTCAAGCCTGTAACCTGTGGGTCAGTTCAGATAAGGAGCAACCTGATGGTGACTGAGTTTCAGAGGTATCTTTGCAATGCCAGCGTGGAAGGAATAGACCAGCTGAACAACCCTGTTCTCTCCCTGTCTCCAGCTCAGGCAAATGAGCAGTTTTTCCAACTGTGCTTAAATGAGCATATGTATCTTTTAATCAAATATTTTTCAAATCTGAATCGTAATTTATCTCTGTATTTTTAGCAATTATTTCCCGTGAAAAGGCTTTTGAAAATATTCTCCATCTTCTTTTGTTCTTTTTCCACAAAACATGCTAATAAGCCCAATGTCTTCACCAAAACTGAGTTCACTTGATACGATTCCTCACAAAAATAATCAACATAAAAAAGAAAAAGGATATTTTGATGAATCACTGCATGGTTGTCTTTGTGAATCAAATGTTTTTATTCCTTTTTTGATATATATGGACTATCTTTCTACACCCAGAGGATCCTGAGATAGGAATGTACAGTCTTCCCAGGTGTAAACTTGCACTGCTCCTGTGAAAGCAGTAAAGCAGCTGATTTATATCAGCTGAGCGTATGGCCCGTTGTGTACTGCACAGTATCAAGGGGAACAAATGAGACCGTATCTTCTGCTGTTGGCAATGTTTCCTTTTCCAGCGCTTCCTGGATTTTCTCTCTCCTAGCCAAACCCTTAATGTTACAGTAAATTTAAATGTAAATATTGTTTTGTTTTTGTAGTTAATAGTTGTAGGTCAAATCACTTTTCATTAGGCTTGTAAGATGCTACATGAAGAGATTCTGTACCCTAAGGTAATGGTTTGGGTTGTTTATATCTACTGTATGCTTCCCCCAACAGGATTTTGAATTGTATCCTGTTGTAATTAAATAAAAAAACCACCCTACTTCCTGTGTGTTGGTGGCACCGAGGTGATTTACGTACTCGGGAGGCTCAACAATTAAAGTCATTAAACAATGAGTAGTGAGCAAAACTGAAAATTTTAATAGCCTTAGTTTTATCTTTCCTTTTCTGGTCTTCATTAGAGAATGAGAGACTTCAAAGGGGAGTGAGGAAAAAAAAAAAAAAAAACAAACAACTTTTAACTGCTTTCATGTCTTAGGATGGACAAAGAGAAAAACAAATAACTAGATATGGCAGTTTCTGGCGGAGAAAGGCAGAGAGAACTGTAAAAACATGCACTTACACACAGAAATACGAGGCAAGAAAGATGAAGTCAGATGTGGACAACCTGATATCTGTCATTTCTTAGTGATCCTAATGTGGAGAAATGAGCAAAAATAGTTGTCTTTGTTGTTTATGACCCATACTATTAGTACTGTAGCAGATATCAATAAGAAGATCTATTTTTCTACGTAGCATGATGAATTAAACTGAAAAAAGGACACAGCTTCTCTTTAAGGTTGATTTTATGAATGGGATTTATTTTTATTCATATGCAGCATGTACCCTTTGGGTTCTGCATACATCACTGCAGTGAAATCAGGGGAATGATGTGGGTGAGAACAGAACTGGACCCAATTAATTAGGCAGGAGATGTACACGCACACCTGGGGGAGGAATCTGATCCTCCAGGGTGAGTAGGAAGAAGATGAAATGCTTGATGTGGCTCCGCCTAAAACTCCCTTTCAATTGCAGCTATTCCTCCTGTTTCTCAGGAGTGAAAGACAAATTTGTTCTAAATCCTAATTCCTTTAAGATTTACAGGGGAGTGAAGTGACCATGGAAATGCAGAGCACCCCTTTTTAAAATTTTTCCCTATATGCAGATGTTGCTCTTGAGGAGAGCTTTCCTGGTAATGGCACTTGGAACCTGCCAGTTGTTCTACTGCTATTTATTACTGTTCGTTTTAAGGCATGAATTGTTGTCTTAAAATATTAGTGGGCCAAACATGTTGACTGAGAAGGTACTAACCAGTGAATGAACTCCTATTTGCTAAGAGATAATCTGCCACTTTTGTTTCAAGCAGCCCGTGTCACCAGTGAAGATTTTCTAGACTCCGTGATGCCTGTCAGCTCCAGTAAGGCACGTGACCTTCACAGGGAGCTTGAAGATGAAGTGATTCCTTCATATATCGAACAGTTTGAGAGAGATGTTCAGGATGACATAATTCTGCTTGGCAGCTTTTCACTGGAACAGGTCAGAGTTAAGAACTATAAGACAATTTTATCGCTTGCTTCATAACATGATGCTGGCTTGTTAACCTTGTACACCCCAATTCTATTTCACTGCCCAGCAATACATATATTGAAAGGGAAAAAGATAACCCATTTCATTGGCTTGCTTTATGTGACTGGCACTTTGCTAAGCTAACAGCGGGACCTTTATCTTTGTCTCCATTTCAATGTGAATAAAAATAGATTGCCTTTGTTGCTTCTTTCCTAAATAGTAGAGAGTATCTGACTGCTCTGTGGTAAGTATTGCAATTGAGTTTCAATCAAGAGCCTAAGATTAGGACATCTCTCTCTGCCAAATTTAACAGAGGCTTAGTCGTTTATCGATGAACAAGTTCACATTGGAGCCCAGGAAGGATTTATGTAGCAATATTCATTGTACAGAGAATAAGATTATTCCCAAATTATAAATCTGTTGTGTTTTTCAGAGTAGTAAAGTTTCCTATGGTTTTCTTTTTGTCATTTCATAATTTAAAGAGGCAAGGTTGGGTTCATGTTGACAAAGGCACGAGTTTTCAGGGCTGAAATACTTGTGGGCACCTAACTACCATTTATCCCTTTGAAAAATCTCGTACCAAGACTAGGGGACAGGAAGAGAGATTAATTGATGAATCTATCATTTTTAATTAGCAACATGAGAACAGCACACTGGCTCTGATGGGCTTAAAATAGGTTATCTGCTGACTGGTGATCTAAGCTTTCTTTTATTTTCAGAGGAAGTTTTTAGAATTTTTTCATTGCAGGACTAAATGTCATTATTGCCCTCTGCATGTTGGTGAGGGACACAATTCCCTTCCTTGCTGCTTCCCTCTAAATTCTTGTGTAGCTTTTTTTCCTTCCT